TGTGCATAAAACGCTGGCCACACTTAAGTTGGACTTCTTCTGGCCTGGCATGGCTGAGGATGTCGCTAATTTGTTGAAAGGGTGTGTGCAGTGCGCGCGGCGGAAGCGGCCGGCGAAACCCTGTTGTCCACCATTACAATTGATTCAGGTTGCCCGTGTGAACGAATTAGTTGCGCTAGACATCCTTGGTCCATTTCCCACTATCCCTCGTGGGAATAAGTACTGGGAGTCGAGTATTTTTCACGATGGCCTGCGGCCTGGCCACTTCCCAACCAGTCAGCGGCGACGATCACTGAAGCATTCCTCAATGGCTATGTAATGGACAAGGGTGCTCCCGAATGTCTTCTGACTGATCAGGGAAAAATTTTTATCTTCAAAGATGTTGCGGGAGGTGTGCGATTTGTTGGGAACAAAGAAAGTACACACATCACCGCACCACACGCAGATGGATGGCATGGTTGAGCGCCTATACAGGACTCTGACGTTAATGTTGAGCCACCAGGTCAGCGAGTCCCAACTCGACTGGGACTTACAGATTCCCAGAGTCCTATCTGCATATAAGATGGCCCCTCACGCATCCACCGGCTACTCACCATTTTTTTAATGTACGGGAGAGAACACGATCCCCTGATTGATATTCAGTTGCAGGCCGCGCCCAACAAAGCTAAATCCAAAATTTCTGACTCGGTGCGTTTCACCCTTCAAAAGCTTTCTGAAGCGCGGGAAGCCTCTAGGGTAAATTCCGATTTGTGCCAATTGGCCAATGAGCGGCTGAGGGGTTCCCGTGTTTCTACACATGAGTGGGCACCTGGGGACTGAGCCTGGTTGCACTGTCCACAGGTACCGGTGGGTACATCGCCCAAATTGTTCAAACCTTGGAGAGGGCCGGTTAATGTGATTCGGGTCGTTCGACCACAGTGTGTCCAGATCCGCTTAGGGCGGCCGAGTTGGTTTGTGCATTCCTCGCACCTCAAACCTTTATTTGCGCTGCGCAAGCTTGTTCCATCTCCACACCGCAGGCACCGAGTATCAAATCTCTCCGGCGAGCCGGGGTGTGTGCCCGCTGAGGGTGGTCTTCAGCGGAGTCGTGTGATCCCATCCCCAGGTGCCGCGTGCCCGACGTCCCCAGCAACGCCGCCTGCGCCGTCTCCACTGGATTCGGGAGAGGAGAACCCGTCGACCCGGCCTACTGCTCGTCGTGAGGAGCCGGGCTCGACGGGACAATTGCATGTTCCCCCCGGAACTTCCATGGAGAGCGAGTCCACCTCCCCTGGAGGCCCGGCCACGAGAACTGGTTCTAAAACTCTTCGGCTTTCGTGATCCCCATGCACACACACTCCCTCAGTTGGTTGTCGCACTCGGTAAGGCGTATCGGTTATTGGCTGAACCTAACCCTTGTTGTGCTTGCGGGTGTTGTTACACGGTGAGGGTGGGAGGTGTTGGCGATGAAGAGGATTCCGAGCGTTCGCGGTTCACTGCACTGTTTTTTTTCTCTCGTGTTGTTCTGTACTCACAACCTTTTCCCGGTTGTTCATGTACATTTGTAGGTAGTGTAAATATTGTATAGGTGGGTTTGGGTATTTCATTGGTAATTGTTATTGTTACTTGTTGAGGCACACATAGCGTTTAATCACGTTTTACTCACTTTAATCACCTTAATCACTTAGTTCGTTTTAATGGGGAGTTGACAGCTGGGACGGCTGAGTGCTACGGAGGAAGGGGGGGGGGTGATGTAGTGACATCACGGATTTCACTGTGTGGTGCCGGCCCTAGAGGGGCACGGTGTGCGATGTACTCACATCATGGACATCACGTATGTAGCGACATCGTGAATGTCACCGAGTAATGCCGGCTCCAGTGAGGCACGGTGTGCGATGCATTGTCATCGCGGACACTCCGTAGGTGGGTGCAGTACCACCCCTAGAGGGGGCTCGGTGAGCGCTGGGATAGCGCAGTGGCACCATGCGTGGCGTGTAGTGCTGACTCCTACAAGAGGGAGTGTGAGACTGTCAGCCATGGGATGAGGTTGCCCTAGGCCATGGCACTCTCAAAAGACCCTGGAAAGCACGTGACCAGTAAGATCTACACAAGGACCCCAGGTGGGGGCTTGGGGGTGGTCACATGTCAGGGTGAGATCCTACGGGAAGGGGTCGAGAAACGACAAGAGGTTTCTAGAAGGTGGTCGTGGCCAAGGGCGGGCCCAGACACGACCCAGCAGCATGTAAACCGGGGTCCTCACAGGGACCGGGGTTCAGCGTTGCTGTGGTCCTCTGAAGATCTACGATCTACGTTCTACGTCCAAGAAGAAGTCACCAACACGCGAACGAGGACCCAAGCTAGGGTCCTGTCCGTTGTAGCTGCTCCCAGTAACTAGCGTAGTTAGCCTGGTGGTCCACCACCATAGGTTATCTGGTAAAGGGGCAGTAACCTCTTTGTGTTATGTGTTGGTGTTCGTAAATATGTGTTGCATCCAAGAAGTACGCCTGCTACTCAGTTGAATCCACTATACTAGCATTGCCCACAGACTAACATTGCACGTAGACTAACATTGCACATAGACTAACATTGCCCACAGACTAACATTGCACGTAGACTAACATTGCACATAGACTAACATTGCACGTAGACTAACATTGCCCATAGACTAACATTGCCCACAGACTAACATTGCACGTAGACTAACATTGCACATAGACTAACATTGCACTTACACTAACATTGCACGTAGACTAACATTGCCCATAGACTAACATTGCACTTACACTAACATTGTACATAGACTAACATTGAATGTAGCCTACATTGCACATAGACTAACATTGCACTTACACTAACATTGCACGTAGACTAACATTGCCCATAGACTAACATTGCACGTAGACTAACATTGCCCATAGACTAACATTGCACGTAGTCTAGCATTGCACATAGACTAACATTGGACATAGACTAACATCGCACATAGACTAACATTGCATGTAGACTAACATTGCACATAGACTAACATTGCCCGTCGACTAACATTGCACTTACACTGACATTGCACGTACACTAACATTGTACATAGACGAACATTTCCCATCGACTAACATTGCAAGTAGACTAACATTAACAATCATCATCATCAGCCATGGTCGACGTTGCTGGATGAAGGCTTCCCCAAGCCGTCCCCATCTCTTGCGGCCCCCAATGTTTAAATGGATGTCACCACTTTAAATGATGCATTAACAACCATGGCCAGGGCCAGTGCATTTATAAGTGGGGGAAAGGTTACTCCACCATGCTGGTCAATGCGGAGCTGACGAAGATGGGGAACGTATAAATACGTGGAAGGTATACTGCCCACCGCGCACGCCCCCCACCCTTTTAACAACCTGTGTGTGTGTGAATGGTAGTAGCGGTAGTGTAGGGGTTATCGCGCTGCGCTACGGACCTGGCGACCCGGGTTCAATTACCGCTCACTGCCAACACCAGTGACGATTATCTGAACCGGTCATGGGCCTCCCCTAGGTCGATACAGCCTCAAATGAGTACCTGGTGCCATGTGTAAACATCGCCGCTGGGGAGACAAAGGCGGCCGGGCGTGGTGTTGGCCACCCACCCCCTCGTGTGCCGTGTCGGCCTTGATAGGTGCTACTCGCTAACAGCACTTGCCCCAACAATCTGTTAAAGGCTATACGGAAAATCGTTGTCTTTGTTTGGTAGTATCCCATACAGGCACTATCCAGGCTCATTCCTGCTTAGCTTCCGATATCTGACTAGGTCGTCCGCATCTAATGGGTGATTTGGTTGCCGACCCAACCGTCCGAAATTATGACAAAAATAAGCTCCCTACTGCAGCCTTCCCTGTTTGCTTTTGGTTAAATCATCATGGTGAAAGAAAACGCTGTTATTTATAATTTATCTCCCCCCCTCCCTCCCCATTTCATGTGGGTTGTGCTATTGACGTCATGAGCCGATGAATCCACCACGATGCAAGCAGTGCAAAACGTGGAATAAAAATATCACACAGCTAGCTGCCTCCGAACATCCCTTCAAGAGACACCTGGGCAACATCGTAGACGACGGCACTTGGACTAGCAGTCCTGCCACCGAGAATAATGGGAGAGAAAAAAAAATATTCCTTTGCATTCTGAATCATTTGGAAGCTCACGACGCGTATATTTGCAGACGTGTGTGCATATACGTTGAGCTTCAGTTAACTTGTGTAAGAATAGGAATATGTTTTTTTATTGTACATGTGTTTGCCCGTTCCTGCATACGATCAATCCACGACTGGATGAGAAGCCTGCGGTGACGGTTATTTGGCCATACTTCAGTATGCTGGAACAACAATGGATTTCACTGCACACTACAGACCAACAATGGATCTTGCTGCACTGCCCTCTATTGCCCACAATGCCTACTACCCCTGTTCGATACGCATGGTGGACGCCCATTCAAACACAAATCAGTCTCAACTCTATTATTGGTTCTTTCGGTAAAGTCACGTAGAAGGGAAACAATAAAATAATAAAAATATAAAACAATGTTTTATATAAAACATGTATAAAACATTTGTTTTATATTGTTTTATATTTGTATTATTTATTGTTCTTTCGGTAAAGTCACGTAGAAGGGAATTATTATGAGTTTATATATATTTATATACGTATATATCATTACCCTCCTTCATTGCTGAAGTGGAATTACCTCTTAAAATATGAGCCGCAGAGACCCGCGTTGTTAATGGCGCAATATGATGACAATGTTGATGAAGATTTTCGTGACAATTCAAGGTTGCATAAGCATTTATATTAAACATCAAATTGTTTACAAATCAATACAAACGGCACCCAAAGAGACATCGCAGCCGCTATTTATCGTGCGTCGTCTTCTCCCGATGTTTGTTGTACCAATTCTACCATAATATTACCAACCTCTGCATATTAACTCATTCATTTTAGTCAACCGTATCGCACAGCCCTGCCCTATTTATAAGCAGAAATTATAGTGCGTACCTTGTCTGGGGCTGGATCTGTCACTGTTTAATGTGCAAGGGTTGGCGATGTTAAAACGCCCTCTCTACAGGCAGGTTCATTCCCTTTCCACTCACGCGTCTCGCACACTGCTTCGCATGCTAATGAAGACGCCTCTCCACCCAGCCTCGTGCGTGTGCGCGCACACACAGGCCGGGCTCAAAGGACTGACCTCGCGTATTCACGAACATTCTGGAAACCGCGTTCAATCGGCTCGTCTGCTATGACCGCCGCCGACGAGTGTGCGAGAATTCCACCCTTTTCCAAGGAGCGGGACAAATAAATGGATGCTCCCTTCTGAAAATAAGATAGGGTGAAGCTGGAATAGATGTGAGTTGATGATGCATGGTCGTTGACACAGAAGCGGATTTTAGACAGAGAACCCGATAATCGTAAAATGTAACGCAAACTTCATTTGATTTTTTTTGTTAGCGTCTAAATGTTATTTATGCAGAAGGTTGATGTGATAGGCACGAGAATCCCCGCTACATATCCATGTCTGTTATGCCAGCATCATTGTTCTTGCAATGCCGTTGCTGCAGAATTGCCCACATCTAAAACGAAGGCTTGTGATTATAAACCTACATGATGCTGTATGTACACATGTGCTGACATTCTATAAATGTTAAGAATTAATACAAGGCCAACTTTTAAATTATTCACACGTCCCTACGAGAGACAAGACGTTTCTAATAGCGATTGCATTCGTTTTAGCCGAGGGATAAAGATTGCGCAAGGTGCTGTGTCAGAATGGTTCGTGCACTCGGCTACCATCCCAGCAAACACAGACTCATTTCCAGCCTACGATGCACATTATTGGCAGCTGGTACCTGAAACTGGCCTGAGCGTCTCTGAGGTTTATTCAATCTAAAACCATCACGCAAACTCCGGTCATCCTTGCCGCGGCTTTTGGCGAACCATCGAACAGACAGTCATTGCATTGCTTACTTCCAGGGGCGCTTCTGTGGCCGTCTGGAACGCTCTTCCTTCCGATATGATGAAGCCACCGGAGCTACAGTGAGGGAAAAAAGTATTTGATCCCCTGTTGATTTTGCACGTTTGACCACTGACAAAGAAATGACCAATCTATAATTTTAATGGTAGGGTTATTTGAACAGTGAGAGACAGAATAACAACAACAAAAATCCAGAAAAAGGCATGTCAAAAATGTTATAAATTGATTTGCATTTTAATGAGGGAAATAAGTATTTGACCCCCTCTCAATCAGAAAGATTTCTGGCTCCCAGGTGTCTTTTATACAGGTGTAGTGGAGTACGAAGGTGCGTTGTGGAAACAGCGTGATTACATGATCACACAAACAGTACGGGTTATCTTGGGTCAGCATGTAGCGAAGGCGAATACAGTGCAGGTTATGTTGGGGCAATAAAGCTGGGAGAGCCGTGGACGGCTGTGATTGGTTGGTGATGTTGCCGGGGCTGGAGAGGCATCTAAAGGTCTGGAGGAGAAACAGGTGACGGTCACGCGGAGTGCCGTTGGGACGCGGGTTAATTAATTGGGGGTGTAATGAGAGCGGGGATAAGAGCGGGAGTCGGAGTCAACCGAGGGGTTTTTTTAATGGTGGAGAGCTTGGAGAGAGGTTGAAGAGCAGAGAGCTTGGAGATGGGTTGAAGTTGGAGAGCTTCGGGGAGTTGGAGTTTGGAGAGTTTGGAGTCAACAGGGGGAATTGAAGTGTGGAGAGTTTGAGAAATAGAGTTTGGAAGACAGCGTTTGAGAGACAGAGTTTGAGAGACAGAGTTTGGAAGACAGAGTTTGAGAGACGGAGTTTGAGAGACAGAGTTTGAGATACAGAGTTTGGAAGACAGAGTTTGAGAGACAGAGTTTGAGAGACAGAGTTTGGAAGACAGAGTTTGAGAGACAGAGTTTGGAAGACAGAGTGGAAGGGAGACGGAGTAGGAGACGGAACTTGGAGAGAGCGTAGCGATAGCGAAGCTGAACAAAGACGAAGTCGTTAGCGGTGGAGAGAGCGTAGCGGTAGCGGAGCTGAAGACGAGAATAGCCCGCAGTGGAGAGAGCGTTGCGATAGCGGAGCTGAAGACGAGAACAGCCAGCAGTGGAGTGAGCACAGTGACGGTGATAGCGGTGAACAGGGATGAAGCAGTAGCAGTGGAGTGAGCATAGTGACAGTGATAGCGGTGAACAAAGACGAAGTAGTTAGCAGTGGAGAGAACACAGCGACGGTGATAGCGGAGAGCGGAGACGAAGAAGTTAGCGGCGGAGTAAGTGAAGTAATCGTGGGGAGTGGAGAGACAAAGGTGGCGAGCGAGTCGAGTGAAGCACGGCGAGCGAGCCGTGGCGACCTGGATACTGTGGAATGTGGAGGACATGCTGAGAGTTGTAAATAAAGCGGTGTTTGGAGAAAGACAGAAGTTGTCCGAGTGAAATCGAACACTATACAGGTAACGAGCTGAGATTAGGAGCACACTGTTAAAGGGAGTGCTCCTAATCTCAGCTTGTTACCTGTGTAGTAGAATAAATAGGCGCATGGGGGTAATTGGTGAGATTGCGCGGGAGCAGGACAGTAGCGGGTCATATTGGGACGATGAGGTAACGATTGGACCAATTAAGCTGGGAGAGCCAGGGACGGCTGTGATTGGCTGGTGTTGTTGTCAGTGCTGGAGTGGCGTCTTGAAGTCTGGCGAGGTAACAGGCGCACGGGCACGCAGAGCGCCGTTGGGACGCGGGTTAATTAATTGGGGTGTAATGAGAGCGGGGATAAATTGGGGAGACGTGAGGAGAAACGGGAGTTGGAGTCGGGGGCTGGACGGGGCAAGACGTGGAGCAGCTGAAGAGAGAAGTAGCCAGCAGTGGAGAGAGCCCAGTGATAGCGGAAAACGGAGAGTAGAGACTAAGCAGTTAGCAGTGAAGAGAGCACGGTGATAGCGAAGAACGGAGAACAGAGACGAAGCAGCCAGCAGTGGGGGAAGCACAGTGACATCGGAGCTGACGGAGAAGTGGAGATTGGAGAGACAAAGACGGCGAGCGAGTCGAGTGAAGCACGGCGAGCGAGCTGTGGCAACAAGGGAACTGTGAAGCATTGAGGACATGTGGAGAACTGTAAATAAAGTGGTGTTGGAAGAAAGACAAAAGTTGTCCGAGTGAAATCAACCACTACACCTGTATAAAAGACACCTGTCCACAGAAGCAATCAATCAGATTCCAAACTCTCCACCATGGCCAAGACCAAAGAGCTCTCCAAGGATGTCAGGTACAAGATTGTAGACCTACACAAGGCTGGAATGGGCTATAAGACCATTGCCAAGCAGCTTGGTGAGAAGGTGACAACAGTTGGTGCGATTATTCACAAATGGAAGAAACACAAAAGAACTGTCAATCTCCCTCGGCCTGGGGCTCCATGCAAGATCTCACCTCGTGGAGTTGCAATGATCATGAGAACGGTGAGGAATCAGCCCAGAACTACACGGGAGGATCTTGTCAATGATCTCAAGGCAGCTGGGACCATAGTCACCAAGAAAACAATTGGTAACACACTACGCCGTGAAGGACTGAAATCCTGCAACGCCCGCAAGGTCCCCCTGCTCAAGAAAGCACATATACATGCCCGTCTGAAGTTTGCCAATGAACATCTGAATAATTCAGAGGACAAGTGGGTGAAAGTGTTGTGGTCTGATGAGACCAAAATGGAGCTCTTTGGCATCAACTCAACTCGCCTATGACCCCAAGAACACCATCCCCACCGTCAAACATGGAGGTGGAAACATTATGCATTGGGGGTGTTTTTCTGCTAAGGGGATAGGGCAACTTCACCGCATCAAAGGGACGATGGACGGAGCCATGTACCGTCAAATCTTGGGTGAGAACCTTCTTACCTCAGCCAGGGTATTGAAAATGGGTCGTGGATGGGTATTCCAGCATGACAATGACCCAAAACACACGGCCAAGGCAACAAAGGAATGGCTCAAGAAGAAACACATTAAGGTCCTGGAGTGGCCTAGCCAGTCTCCAGACCTTAATGCCATAGAAAATCTGTGGAGGGAGCTGAAGGTTCGAGTTGCCAAACGTCAGCCTCAAAACCTTAATGACTTGGAGAAGATCTGCAAAGAGGAGTGGGACAAAATCCCTCCTGAGATGTGTGCAAACCTGGTGGCCAACTACAAGAAACATCTGACCTCTGTGATTGCCAACAAGGGTTTTGCCACCAAGTACTAAGTCATGTTTTGCAGAGGGGTAAAATACTTATTTCCCTCATTAAAATGCAAATCAATTTATAACATTTTTGACATGCGTTTTTCCGGATTTTGTTGTTGTTATTCTGTCTCTCACTGTTCAAATAAATCTACCATTAAAATTATAGACTAATCATTTCTTTGTCAGTGGGCAAACGTACAAAATCAGCAGGGGATCAAATACTTTTTTCCCTCACTGTATGCATTTTTAAAATCTAGATTGAAAACACGTTTCTTTAGAACTGCTTTTTGTGTGTGTAGTGTGTTGTCCTTCCTCCGCACCTCCGATTTAACACGGTTAGCTACGTACGATGCGAAAGGAGTTCAACCTACGTACTTACAAGAAGTTCGGCGTTGCAGTCGTGACCTCTTTAAACAGAAGATGAAACATACAAGGGGGCCCGTTCATCCACGTGCAACATTGCTTCTCTTGCAAGGGTCGACCTCGACGACATCCAGACAATTAGAGTACAGAAGAGCGTGCGTTTAAACACATTTAGAATGTAACAAAGCGAGAGGAGAGTCGCTGATCTGGGCTGTCGGGGTGTGTTTGGTGGGGGGCATGGGGCGATGCGACCCCCCCCCCCCCTCTCCCGACGCTGCCCACCCTTTGAGACCCCAAGCTCATGCATTGATCGTCACCAGAGATTATACATTGAATTTGTTTTTTGTAACTTGATGTCAAATTAACATTTATAAAGCTTAACATTTCGCGACCCCCCCCACCACAACCTTCTTCTTTCAGGAAGTTTCTAGATCCACCTCTGACCTCAACTTTACGTAACAATAAATGTAATTCACATTCGATTATTGAAAAAAAATGAACGTGACTGGTGTTCAAAAATGTGCTTTTGATTTTCCAAGTTCCAATTTG